GTCACTGCGGGGCCCGAGCCAGACCAACGGTTCACAAGACCGGGCACGCCGCAGCAGCAACGGCGGCGGCGTCGCGCTCGGCCATGGTCACTAGCATGGCCTCGATCCTGGACGGCGGCGACTACCGGCCCGAGCTCTCTATCCCGCTCCATCACGCCATGAGCATGTCCTGCGACTCGTCCCCGCCCGGGATGGGCATGAGCAACACCTACACCACGTTGACGCCGCTCCAGCCGCTGCCGCCCATCTCCACCGTGTCGGACAAGTTCCACCACCCGCACCCTCACCACCACCACCCACACCACCATCACCACCACCACCACCACCAGCGCCTGTCGGGCAACGTCAGCGGCAGCTTCACCCTCATGCGCGATGAACGCGGGCTCCCGGCCATGAACAACCTCTACAGCCCCTACAAGGAGATGCCGGGCATGAGCCAGAGCCTGTCCCCGCTGGGCGCCACGCCGTTGGGCAACGGGCTGGGTGGCCTCCACAACGCGCAGCAGAGCCTGCCCAACTACGGGCCGCCGGGCCACGACAAAATGCTCAGCCCCAACTTCGACGCGCACCACACTGCCATGCTGACCCGCGGCGAGCAGCACCTGTCCCGGGGCCTGGGCACCCCGCCCGCGGCCATGATGTCGCACCTCAATGGCCTGCATCACCCGGGTCACGCTCAGTCCCACGGGCCAGTGCTGGCACCCAGCCGCGAACGTCCACCCTCGTCCTCGTCGGGCTCGCAGGTGGCCACATCCGGCCAGCTGGAGGAGATCAACACCAAAGAGGTGGCCCAGCGCATCACCGCCGAGCTGAAGCGCTACAGCATTCCGCAGGCGATCTTCGCGCAGAGGGTGCTGTGCCGGTCTCAGGGGACTCTCTCCGACCTGCTCCGGAACCCAAAGCCGTGGAGTAAACTCAAATCTGGCAGGGAGACCTTCCGCAGGATGTGGAAGTGGCTGCAGGAGCCGGAGTTCCAGCGCATGTCCGCCTTACGCCTGGCAGGTAAGCCCAGAGAGTCACCTGGAGCCACGCTGCCGGGGGCTTGTGGCCGCGGGTCAGCGCACCTAGCACTTCTCCGGGTTCTCTCCTGCTATCCTCTACACACTTCCTGTTCTTGACTTTATTCCTTGTTCCACTTCCTTTCTCTCTTCTTCCTCTTCTTTCTGCTCTCCCTTCTGTTTTTCTTCTTTTCCTTCCTCCTTGTCTACAGCTTTGATCTACCGACTCCCCCCTACACACACACACACACACACACACACACACACACACGTTTCATTTGCCTCCCTCAATGTGTCAATTTTGCCCTGTCTTTCCGAGGCGAGATGGGGTCCCCGGTATCCACTAGGAGCCCTCTTTTTCCAGGACTCACGGAGACCAGGTATTGCCCTTGTCCAAAACCTTGTGCACTTGAACACTTGCTTAAACAATACATTTCAGTTTTCCAAACTGCCTAGTCTCCCTGTATGGAGTCGGTTGAAGGGCTTTGCTCTTCAGAAGAGAAAAAGATCTCTCTGTTCTCCTACCCACCATATCAGGCAAACTTCTTTGATTATTGGCAGGAGTCACACACAGCCTTGCCCACACCGGGAACTGGTGGCTCGCTAGACTGTAAGCGCTTCCTGAGCCCTTCTTCGGCCTTGGCGTTGGCGCAGGGATTTTCTGACCCAAAGAACCGACTTGGGCTAGCTCCCATGTCACTGTCCACAGCAAGGGGAGGGTGCACGGATGAGGGTCTGGACTGCCACATTAACCTCCGGGAGAATGGGGGAAGAGAAACTAAGAATGGAGAGCGCTGTGCCTCACTCGCCAGCCACCCTTGCCCCGCTCCTAGCGTTTGCTGGGATTTGCCGAGGTTTGGCTGGGCTTGGAGAGAGGTTAGGCGCTCTCAAGGAAGAGGTGCTGAGAAATTAAGATGCAGGTTAGTTAATGCATCTTGGCCGTGGGCTACAGGCTCCGCCTTTGCATTAAGCGGACGCTGATTGTGCGCGTCGCGCCGCGGCGGGGAGGGCTGACGACCTGCGGGAGGGGACGAGTTGATGCGCTGGTTACATTGTTCTGGAGCTGCCTTGGCTCTTTGTGCCTCCTCTAGCGGCGGAGCCGCGAGGTACAGCTCTCTATTGTTCTAGGAGCACAGACACCTCCTGCGTGGGCGGCGGGAGCTGTAGAGAAAAACGCAGCAGTGGCTGCGCCTTTCTTGCAGTTGCGCGCTTTTGTGCGCACAGAGCCAGCGAGGTGCGCGTGGCAGTTGCGCTGTCCTTGGGATCCAGCCGCGGGCCCATAGGGTCTGAGTGTCCAGGCACCCCACCTAGGAGGACACACTGTACCATACTGCAAACAGGGTTGGGCAGCTTCTCTTGGACTGGAGCGATCTCTCGGGGCCCGCGGGCCATCAGGGGGATAAGCCGTAGTGGCAGTGATTTCCATAGGCGGGGACAGTGGGACTCACGCGGTTCTGTGGGTTCTGAGTCAGCCGCACAGAACGAGCTTCCGGAGGGGAAAGCACGGCTTCCTCTCCCACGCCCCGGGCTTTCCTCGCACCGCCCAGCCTGGCTTATGGGGTGCGCTCTACCGACACCGGCCCGGCCTGGGGGACGTGACAGACAGCATTTTCACCCAGGCTTGGGGAGGGGGCGTTTCCGATCTGACCACCTCAGCCTTTGCCTCCAGCGGCCCCACGGTGATGATCTGAGAAGATAAAAAGAAAACTAGCTTTGCCCGAAAGAGCTTTTTCAAATCGGGGAACTCCAAGTACTTTTGCTTGCATTTAGAAGTCTACTTTATCTCTCTCCTTTAGCTTAGTCTTCATCCTCTCCTACATTTTTCTCTGATTTGCTCTTGGTTCCTAGCAAAGATTAAGTAGTGAATAGATAGTAGCGGTGAGTTATAAATTGGAGATTTACTGACAATTCCCAACAGTGTGGTTCCCTTTTGTCTTAGTCCCCCCCTTCCGCCGCCCCCCCCCCCCCCAGTCTCTCTCCTGAGAGCTCTAGCACGTGCTAGCTTCCTGGACATAGGCGGCCAGAAGGAACTTGGCAGCTGGTCTTTGGGGGGTACAGTTAAAGGCTGGATGACAGCTATTCCATTCCAGCCCATCTCAGAGCGCTGTCGCCCCCTCACGCCTGTGGGGGAAAGGACAGAGCTTAAAAAAAAAAAAAAAAAAAAAAAAAAAAGCACTGCCTTCCTGCCTATGTATCTGAAGGTGGTGTGGCAAGTCATATTTTACTGTTAGCACTCCGAAATGACCCCAAGCTTGCTGGGTTGAAGGATACGTGTGGCAATTCTGCGGGAACCCCACCATTGAGAGTCCCAGGATGACTCCTCTGGGGCTTTTAGGAGGAGCCCCGAAACTGCCTCTGAAACTGCCTCCTTCAGAGAGTGGGAAATTCCTCCTGAATGCTTCAAGCATTCAAATTTGGTGTGTCTGTTTTATTACCCCAAGTTGAAAAGGGACAAGAGCTTTAGCCTTTTTATCTGGTCATTCTATCAGCAACTACAAGCGTGTTGAGTGGTCATTATTACATAGAAGGCTTTTCAGTTTGGGGTCGGTAGATCAGTCTCTTCAGACACTGACACAGAAGCTGGGTTGGTAAGTAGGTATTATGTACTCGGGAGCACGAGGGGACTGGAGCAAATGGAGAAGAAAAGCTGAGGCCTTCTCCGCCAGGAGTATCGATCGATTGGAATCATCCCACACTGTTGGGCTCCGGTTCCAGGGGTTAAACAATCCTAGTAGCTCCACAGGGCTGCTGGGCCTTGTCTCCCAGCCCTGTGCCTAGAAGTGGTGCCATCCACCCCCTCCCCCCCACTCCCGCTCCACACAAGGCTTGCTCTATCTATCTATCTATCTATCTCCTTTTAGTTTCCTTTTCTCTTCTCATTTTGGGCCCCTCTGGGTCTTGCCAGAGGCCCAAGCAGACAGGGGTTTGAGGGACTTACGAATTAAGATGTCTGATTTGGACCATCGCCTGCAAACCTCACCCTTAGGTGAAGCACACCGTCACAACAGAAGCAGGTCCTTCCTCTCCCCCTGCCCCCCTCCTGGGTGTATACACAGCTCAAGGTAGCATTTCAAGAGGGAAGGGAGGAGACGACAGGAAACTCAGATTGCCCCAGCACTAGGCTTCAGAGAAATGGACTCCAAGTGCGAGATTTCGTTTGGAAAGGGTGGCAGAGGCAGCAACTGCCCCCAGCTGGGCCTCTTCAGGGGTTTCCCAAGGCTGGCTCCCATAGGGCAGTTTTTATGAATTGTGGCAGAGGCTGGGAGGACACACTCCCATGGGTTCAAGAACCGACACTCTCCAGCTTGCCCAAGAAAAGCCTAAACCAGTGGTTCTCAACCTGTGGGTCGCGACCCCTTTGGGGGTCGAACGACCCTTTCACAGGGGTCGCCTAAGACCATCGGAAAACACATATATAATTACATATTGTTTTTGTGATTAATCGCTATGCTTTAATTATGTTCAATTTGTAACAATGAAATGGGGGGTCACCACAACATGAGGAACTGTATTAAAGGGTCACGGCATTAGGAAGGTTGAGAACCACTGCTCTAAACCAAGGCACAAACAGGAACAAAGAGGGAGAGAACCCAGGCAAGAGCCTCGGTGCCCCACCGAGGAAAAATCGAGGCCCTCAGTGGCGGGAGTGTTGCCTCCAACGCCCAGAAGACAAAGCAGAGCCCTCAGCCCTTGACAACATACCCTGTAACCCGGCTCCCGAGTGGTCTGCTAGGAATCTGCCTCCAGTCCCAGCGGTGGACAGATTCCGGCCCTCTTCGGGCAGCAACTCCCGGTGGCCAATCTGGAGCCAACTCTGTTCCCGCAGCAGAGGGCTCTTAACCAACCCGACCAGATGCCGCCCGGGCCACCTGAGGCTGCAACAGTGAGCATGGCAGGGCACCAACTGTGTGCCCGTCTGCTTCTGAGTGGGGCAGGGAGGAGGGTGTCTTAGGGTACACCTCCGACAGGCACCTCCTAAATCAAGGAGAGGGAGTGGGGACTTCATTCGCAGACCTCTCCCCACTCCACACCCCCCACCCCAAGGCTCCCTGCCTACCTCAGCCCAGCTCTCGCTACATTTACTTCGGGATCGTGGCCAAGAGGCCACAGGCAACCAGGTCGGTAGGGAACACGCGATATTTTCGCCTGCTGGATAGTGGGATTAATAATTAAAAAGCTCTCGCTACTGTCCTTGCTTGGTCAAGCCCCGAGTGCGGGTAGAACACCTCCCCAACACGCATTAGGGTGGACGGGAGCGGCCCCAGGAGGCGGGATGTGAGGAGGGTAGCGAAGCCGCGCGAGAGACGCAGTCCAGGCCAGCCGGCGCCCTGGACGGGAGAGGCTGCGCATTTATTTTTATTCCAGGCTTTCCACTGTGTGGTTATGTCACTTTCTCAAACAAATGTGTATATGGAGAGAGATCGATGCTGATAATGTTTAGAAGATTAAAAGAGCATTAATGCTGGCAACAATAACGTAAACGTGTGGACCCAGATTTCATTGATCTGGAACCTGATCCGGCGCGTTTCCAGTAAGCCCGACCGTTCCCAGCAGAGCGCTCGCCCCGGCTCACGCGCTCCGTGCCGTGCTGCTGCCCCAGCTCCGGGCGGGTTCTCGGGTCTGCCTGCAGCTCCTCCCCGGAGCAGCCCCAGATACCCGAGGCTTTCTCTGGTCGCAGGACTGCCCGCCTACTTCCCCAGCTCCCCTGCGCGCACACACCGCTTCCTGCGTTTTCTGCGCTCCCGCTCCCGCCACTGGCTCTGCAGGTGGTTGTGTGTGGGCTTTGCACCAGGCCCTCCCAGCTTCCTTGTCCTGGAGGAGTCCTCTCCCCCTCCCCCAGGCCCCTACATCTGCTCCAGCAGGGCCCCGGGCAACTTCGTTCCTCCATTGAAACCATCTAGGAAATTCAGTCACCCCCTTCATATGCGGGAATAACCAAACCCTACTTTGCAAACGTCTCTAAGGCTGCCTGCTAACCCCGCAGCTTCCGGATCCGTGGATCCC